TAAGAAAATTGAAAATTTTCAAAAATCGGGAAGTTATTGTTTTCACCCCGTTTTACAAAAATCGAGTTTTCATCAGATCTCGACGTTTGAAGGTCACAGGAAGCTTCCCTGACTATTTAAATAAGCATCACTCCAAATATGTATGTATGGTGTGTGTGTGTGTGTGTGTGTGTGTGTGTGTGTGTGTGTGTGTGTGTGTGTGTGTGTGTGTGTGTGTGTGTGTGTATTAGGGTGGTCGTTAAAAATTAAATTTTTTGCGGCGCCTAAAAAAATCCTTCCTTAGGACGAGAAACTACGGGAAAAATTTTGCTTTTTGATTTTAAACGAAAAGAACACGTGCACGGCATGCCAACGGGCAATTGAAGTTTTTCAATTGAAGATTTTTCGATAAAATTCTAGTTTTTTGAAATATTTGTTACGGTATTTAAATTTGGACAAGAAATCATGAAAAAAAGCTTGTAGGAAATTAAATTCTCTACAAAAGGGTTTCTTTCGTTTTTAGATGAAGCTCATATCTATCGAGATAATTGAAGAGTAATTCAAAGCCAACTTTCCCGATCCAAATTGACGGTAAACTAAATTTTTAATTTTTATTAAATTTCAATTTTTACTTATTATCTATTTACACCACATTATTGTCGGTATGAGGTCTCAGTTTCGGTGGCCGAAAAAAGATTCACTGAGTAAACAATATAATCTTAATTAAATAACGATTTTTAACTTTGGAACGTACTTGGTGTGCGTCATATTGTGCATTTCAATTTTTTTAAAGTCCTAGTAAATAGATTTTACAAATTTAATTAAAAGTAAAATATTTTGCAACCGCGCACACTAAATACGTTCCAAAATTGTTTTTTTAATTTTTAAATTTACAACAAAATTTTTTTTAATTTCCGAAAATCATAAACAATCATATCGGTTACTTGGATTTTTCAATTTTTTTATTTTATATCTTTTTGTAAAGAAAAAACTAATTTTTTTTTCTTAATAGTCTTATGAACGTGGACTTGGCGCGATTTTTTTACAGTGAAACTGTTTTTGTTCGGATCAAATATACTCCAAATTATACAAAATTATTTTTGTAATGTACTCAATATAATCTCCGATTTGGCCAAGTAATTTTTTTGGTTATGCCGCGTAATATTATACTAGATATAATCTAAAAAATTATGCCGTATAATTTAAATTAAACTCGGTAGAAATTTCGATTATATCCACGATGTCTCGTAAAAATAAAATTTAAAAGATGAAATAATAGCAACATAAAACTTAAGCGTGACTATGAACAGGTTAGATTTTATTGTCACAAGAATTAACGTAAAAACATACGTCTTGTACATTATTTATACATACCTGGTAATTAGAACAATTATCACGGAAAAAAAATGTTTACATAAAAAAAAAATATAATTGGTCACTCACTAAAATAATTCACTGATTTATAGTTTATTAATGTTCAATATACTGATTGACTATAACTCACAAATTGTAAACCACTTCACGCGCAGGCGCTAGAAAAAAAAATAGCGGAGGTATCGTGGGGTTCCATGATAATTGATCCCCGTAATTTAATACCACGACATCTGATACCACGACTAATGATCCCACGTCAATTGATCCCACTGAGAACTGATACCACTAACAACAGATCCCACCGACGCCCGATCCCACCCACCATGTTTTACCCTTTTATTAAGGATGTTATGTGTGTTTATTCGAAAGTATACTAACACATATGCTTGTTACCGTGTTATGCCCTTTTATCAAGGATGTTATGTGTTTTTATTCGAAAGTATACAAACACTTATGCTTGTTACCGTGTTATGCCCTTTTATCAAGGATGTTATGTGTGTTTATTCGAAAGTATACGAACACATAAGCTTTTAACCCCCACCAAGACGCTGCCCCGATCTTACTAGATGTACAGTTGACGCTAACTGTATTGGACCTCTGTATTTGACGACATTCTTCTTCTGTATTTGACGATTTTACACAGCTCTTATGGACAAGGACGAGTCATATACAGAGGATGGTTCTGTACGGGCAAGTCACATACAGAGAGCGTTGACTGTTGTGTAGAATAATAATTCATTTCTTTTCAAATGAGGGGCTTCGCTCCCCAACCCCCACCGGGGCTTCGCCCCAGACCCCGCTAAACCTTGGGATCATTTGTCGGTAGGATCATTTGTCGGCGAGATCATTTGTCGGTGGGATCAATTGACGCTGGGATCAAATTACAGGTATTATTTGTCGCGGTATTAAATTCCGGGGATCATTTAACGTGACACCTATTATGCCCCACACATCACTTATTTGCTCAAAATATAAAAACATCATAGAGGTCATAACTTGAGGGAAATTGAAAAAAAAAATTTTTACCTAATTTTTGAGGGGGGCCGTCGTGCCCCAGAGGGCCCTCGTGCCCCAGGTTCCCCTACATACAGACATATGGACATCATCGCGAAAACATTCAGGGAAGCTTCCCTAGGACCTCAAAACGTCAAGATCTGATGAAAACTCGATTTTCGAAAAACGGGGTAAAACCAATAATTTCCCGATTTTTGAAAATTTTCAATTTTCTTAACGGGAAGTTGAAAATTATTTCATTAATGAGTGAATTTTTCGGTTGTTATATATTTCAAAATATGTAAAATCTAATTTTTAACATAAATATCATTATATTACGCTGCCCAGGCTTTAAATTAAATAATTTTAAGAATCTGCAAGTTTTATGAATTTCGAGCTTTAAAATCGGCTGATTTCACGAGTTACCAAGTTTAGAAACGGCCGATTTTAGCAATTTCTAAATTTTAAATCAGCTGAATTCAAGTTGTCAGGTTTTAAATTTTCAGTATTTAGCGATCGTCATATTTTAAGGGGGTATTCTAGTGTAGAGACATGAATTTTAGGTCATTTTGAAAGTGTCGTAAAAAAAAAGCAATCAATATTTTTATTATCCATTTTTTTATCAGTCATTTATTAATGTTTGAAGAGTACAGAAAAAAATTAAAAAAAAAAAAAAGTCAAAAATTTAAAAAACTGGCAGCCGATGAAGTGGGGGGCGTCAAAAAATTGGCAGATGAGTTTTGACATGATTTCTACCCTCCTAGTCATCTAAAATGAAAAAATAAAAAAGATTATTAATCTGCAATGATGTCGCAAGAATCAGAACTAGCGATGAGTGAAAAAAAAATTTTTTGACAAAATGGCGACTGTTTGAAAAAAAGACGATTTTTTTTACCATTTTTTTGAGCTTCTCGAATTTTTTAAAAATAGTCAAAATTGAAATTTGGGGATAAGGCTAGTTCCAATTCTTGAGAGGTCTATAAAAAAGATTCCCTGAAAATTTCAAGTGAATCGGTCCAGTAGAACTCGAGAAATCGTGACAAATATATTGAAAAAGTCTGTTCTGAGAAAAACGCATTTGAAGTTTCGCGTAAAGTTTTTCGCTGTCAAAGTTATGAAATGATATATTATACTTACTTTTATTCAATCTGCCATTCCTGCTTCATACATCAGACCTTTTTCTACTTCAAAAAAACTATTTTCTGCGTTTCTCTCTTCCAATCGAGCAGTTCTGGCCTCCTTTGAAGCGTTGGATGTACGTATTTCGGAGCGTTCAATCCGGGCGTTGTCTCGTCTCACAGCAAATGAATGAGCTTCCGGCCCAATTTTCATTCCCATAAGGGTCATCATTTTTAAAATTGGAATGAAACCTTCATTAAAAATGCAAACAGCGAGAAATGTTGCTATTTCAATTATCTTAGGTCCAGAATGAATATGTTTCGGCGCGAAAGTCCAAATCAACGAGTTTAGAGACTCATTATTGTTTTGAGTTTCAGAACCTAAACATCGAGTTAATAATTCCTCTGATGATAAATTTTCATAAATTGGTTTTATAATTTCTAAAACTTTATCACACAGAGGAACATTGTCATGCTGAAACTCCTCTAAGGTATCCTCAGATGCAGCTTTTTGCCACGCACACCAACTCTCCGCACCAGGTGGGCAATACATATGCTGTGGATCTTGGTCTGTGGAACTATTGTGGTAATAAGTAGCCCAAACAGCATTTTTCATGTCTTCAACAGAGTCTGGGTGCCGGCGAATTGCTAAACCATAATACAACGACAATTTATTTATAATTTTATCAGTTAATTTGCCTTCTCCTTTTCCACCAACCCCTTTATTGTCTTTCTTCGCTTTCCGTAGCCTTGCACCCATTCTCTTCTGTACGTGACCTACGCATTCTTTTTTTTCTACCAATGGGTCACCATCATAAGGATCTATATCGAGTATGCCTTTGAATGTCTTTGCATCACCATCGCCAATATATTTTACGTATTTCACTCCGTGTTTTTCAACTGATCTACCGAACATCTCCACAACAGCATCTACTTCCATTTTGCCGGCACTTCCTTTATGATTTATGGTACAAACTTCTTGATGATCCTCATACCAATCATGATACGCTGAAATATCTGAATTTTTTTTATTTTTCCAAATATTACAACCTTGACAGAAACTGGATTTGACAACAGTATCAACAACTTTCTTGCAATTTTTTGCTACTAGTGTAGTTACTCCAAATAGAGAATTAAAACCTCTTTTTTTCCAAGTCCCATCACCAGAAACTGTAAACTCCGTTGGATTTGCATTTGGATTACAAGCTGAAATTAAATCTTTTTCTTCGTTGACAGCTTTGGAAATGACAAGATTATAAACTGCAGATGTAGCTAAATAGATATTTTCAATACAAGCGTAGTAAGTCCCGATTGATATTCCTTGACAAATATCCATCAGACTACAGAAGATGTTGATTCCTTCCCTGCCAACTCCCAAAACCCGCATAGCAAATATTATTTTTCGGTTCACTTCAAAACATTTTTCAATAATTGGGCATGATGGTATATATTGGTAATTTTCGCAACTACATTGTAATGTAATTTTAAAACCTACTCCACGGTAAGTCGTTCGTGAAAATTTAATTTCTTTATTGCACTTTGCACACAAAACTAGAGAAGAAAGTGCCGAAAACACAGTAAAAAACTCTAAAACACAGTAGCCATAATTATTTTCTGTTGTTACCTCTGCATCGTTTGTTTTTCTCAACTTTGCTGCTGATGAGCTAGTAAAACTGGTGTCTGTTTCTACAGTGTGCCGATTGCCGTGAAACTTCCGTTTTGTTGGTCGATCTGCACGCTTATATTTTTTCGTTGTGGATTTTTTTATCCATTTTATTTATAAGAATCAAAATTATTACTCGCAAAATATCCTTCGATCACTGCACATACGTCCACGTGTTTTCGAGGTTGGGATTTGACTGCCAGCAGCTGGATGTTAGTGAACACTGAATAATATAAAAGACACGTCACCTTGGGTTATTATATTACACTAAATACATACACACACATATATATATCCTTTATATACATATATATAAAGGACAAAAGGTTTAACTGAGAAATATAGATTCAGGTAGACGGAGAATCCCTAATGTCTTTTGTCCGACTAGACCCAACCGAACCAGTTTGGAGGCCGGGTCAGTAAAATGTCTATAGCTCCGAAAATAATTTAAATTTTCAAAAATCCTCTCGTAGACATATTCTTAAATAGTTAAACTTTGAAAATATAAAAAAAAAAAAAATCGATTTTTTTGAAATTCTACACTAGAATACCCCCTTAAGATTCGTGATTTTAAATATTCTCAGTTTTAATATAACGTAGTTATAGGAGTATTTAAATACATAATACACACGTTGTTAAAATTTAGAGACGACTTACCACGTCTAACCGAAGATAATTGTAATTGAAAATGACATTTTTACACAGGCGGTATGGAAAAAGAGAGAGAAAACCGCGAAGATTTATTATTTTTGTATTGAAGAAATTTTAAGAATTTCATGAAAAACTAATATTACTTAGATTAATACATAAATAATTACCCCAAAGAATTCTGGAATTCCCTACCACATAGTTTTTGAGAAATCATTGATAAACTAGTAAAGTAAACAAATCAAGTCATGCATGGAAGTAAGTGAGTGATAGCCCGTAAGAGAGGCGACACTAGCGAATGAAAGAGACAGCAGTAGCATAAACTATAGGTTGGGAAAGAACTACCTTAATAACCTTAATAACGTTTTATTAATGCTTCTTTTTTTACTGTTCATTTTTGAAAATGAATTCATTTAGAAATTTTATTGTTTACAGTTGGCTGTCTTTTTATTTGTCACATTTTAGTGCAGGTATAATTTACTTTTAACTTTATTTGTATTTTTAAAATTTTTATAATATCATTTTTTATGGTTTGCTTATTTTACAAATTGGAAAATTTCATGTTTTCCAATTTTAGAGTTTAGAAACGGCTAAATTTATTGATGGCCATAAATCCCTAAACTTAGAAACCGACTCAAATTCATGTCCACGATTGTATGTGAAACCAATTTATTCGTGATGTGATTGGTCAAATATATCATAAGCATGAAAATATATGCAAACTCTATATTCAGGCGCACGTTTGCGTGCGCAAATTCAATTCTAGTCCTCTACTAAAAAGGTGATGGCCGGATGTCGTATCGTTTAATGTCACTTCTATAACTATTATGTTCGTTTGTTGATTGGTCGACTGATATAGTGGCGGGATTATTGAAAGAATGGCGAGCGAAGCGAGCGTGTTATTTCTAGTAACTAAAAACTGTCAATAAATTTCAAAGGCTAAAAATAATGTGATTGAAGGGATAGCCACTATAACGATCGAAAAAAATGATTGATATTCGGCAATTTTTTTTACCCGGAAAATAAAGGAATGTCAGAATAGTATTTCATTTATTTTATTAAATGTACATCCAAAAAATATTTTCATGAATTTTTATTAAAAAATATTAAATCGTTTCGAACATATGAGCGTTGCCGTGAATTCAGAAAATCAATTTCCTCTCTATGGTCAAATCGATCTCTCAATATTGGGTTACTGAGAAAAAAAATCCAAGTTCATATACAATTGTATATATTGTATATCTATATGGGTCATTCCATGTTGAATTGACCAATCGTTGGAATCGACCCCTTTCGATTTGGATGAATTTTGGTCAGGAGTTTTCTTTTATCATAAAACGAAGTTCTGCCCAAGGAAAAAAATAAAACAATTTTTTTCAAAAGATGTGCAAATTCAAAATTTCGCGATTTTTCCAGTTTTTCAATTTTATTTTTGCAATATCTCGAATGCTATTATAGATGCAGAAATGATCTTTCTTTTGTTTAAAAGGGGACACTTAGGGCTATTGAAAAAAAAATTTTGAAAAATGCCAAATTTTGAGTTTTTGAAAATCGTCAAAAATGAAACCGCCATTAAAATTTTGGCTCAATTTTTTTTTGTATGATACCTTGTTCTGATCTTAAAAGATCCTGACATTTTCGGATAGAGGGTTTTTTTTTTTCAAAAATATGAATTTTTGAATTAAAAAAAAAATTTTTGAATTTCAAAAAAAATTTTTTTTTTGTTATTTGCAACTTCTAAATAAGGTAAAGTTATGCAAATACATAATATTGTAATTTTGAGCATTTAAAAATCAAATTCACGACGTGGACATATTAAATAATAAATTAATTCCAACTTTTTTTTTTAGTTTTTGAACATACCCTGATTAAGAAATCTAATTTAAAATGATTTAAAATGATTTGAAATGATTTAAATGCATCGGATTTTAATACTATACTATATATAGATATACAATTAACATGAAGGTAATCATTTCAAATCATCTTTCTGAATCAGGGTAATCTTGCATCCCTAAAATAAGTCATCCTCAACGCATGATAGAATTTGTTAATTGTCTTTTTTTTACTTCATTTGAAGTTGTTGACGCCACTTGCCGTCTTATTAACATGGGAATAATTTGTAATTTGAGATTGAGAACTATTAATGTGCAGAAATTCGTAAGTAAATAAGTATTCGAAAGAACGAAAAAAAATTGATATTCTCATGAAACTATTTCTAAATTTTATAGAAAATTAATATCTGTTTGAGTTATTTGAGATTAAAAACTGTAATTGAAGTGAAGAAACGGACAAAATACATCATGCGTTAAAAAAATAAAAAATTATATCATGCGTTAAGCCTGACTTTAAGATTATGTCTAAAAAATAAAAAAAAATTGAAATTAATTTATTATTTAATATTTTCACGTCGTGCATTTGATTTTTAAATACTCAAAATTATTATATTATGTATTTGCATAACTTTACCTTTTATAGAAGTTGCAAAAAACAAAAAAAATTTTTTTTTAATTCAAAATTATTTTTTTAAATTCAAAAATTCATATTTTTGAAAAAAAAAACCCTATCCAAAAATTTCAGGATCTTTTAAGATCAGTACAAGGTATCATAAAAAAAATTTAGGAAAACGGTTGACCTTGAAGGCCATCTCTGCAACTTCCCGCCAATTCTATACCTAAACGCTTGAAATTGCACTTATGACGTTTTAGAGCTTTTCGAGCTCATAAATACAATTTCTGTATTATTTTGAGCTCTCCGAGCTCAAAAAATAGCTTTTGTATGCTTTTGAGCTCTTCGAGCTCAAAAGTTTGATAGAAATTTGATGAAACACTATTTTTTGAATTTTTAAATCGCAATAACTTTTGAATGAATGAACCGATTTTCACGCAGTTGGTGGCATTCAACGCAGTTTTTTAAGCTTCATGAAAAATTTTTAAGTTTATATTGATAGAGCGGAAAACTTCGGAGTAATTCCGAAAAAACACTTTTTTTCGGTTTTCTTTCGTCAACGATAACTCACGAACGAATCAACCGATTTTGACCGGACTGGCGGCGATCGATGTAATTTTTCGATGTTAAGAGCTGGTTAGTTTTTGGAATTGATCGGTAAAGTCGTTTAAAAGTTATTCCAAAAAAACCACTTTTGAAAAAAATTTTTTTTTGTAGTTTTTTTGCGATTTTTCAAAATCTACCGGTCTGAATCGTTCCAAAGTATATACAAAATCTAATTTTGGTCAAGCCCTTTCGAATGGCACCAACCACGATCAAATCGGTCAAGCCGTTCAAAAGTTATAAGAGGTTTACATACATACATATATATATACACACACACACACACACACACTCACACACATACACACACGCACATACACGCACGCACGCACACACACACACACACACACACACACCTGCGGCAGAGGAGAAACTGCTACCAGGCGCGTCTCCCCGTAGCGGATGGGTTGACACTCGCTGTCCTTAGATGACACTTGGATAATCGCTTAGTGGGTGAGGTACAGCGGGTAGGAGCCAAGCAAAATAACCAAACAAAATACGCTCCCGTGGACAAAACTCCCCTTAATATGGGTTGGTCACACTAACTGACCTAACAAGACGATCGGTCCCTGCTGTAACTCGCTGGGAGTGTCCGGAACCTGTATCGTAGTCTCCGACGATGCAGGCCACGGCTGATGTGAGCTTGCTCTGCCGAGGTGTAAGTTGCACCAGTGGATCAGGAGCCAGCCACTTCGGGCCTTGATCAGGAAGTACGCAATGAGTGTCAGAGATCGGAATCTTCACCGCCCCGAGCGAGTCTAGTCCGTACGTGTATTCCGGGACTGGCTAAGTGTCGACTAGACCTCAGGGAACTGGGGTAGGAGTACTATCTCCGAGAGTACACCCGCTCCTAGTTATGACAACCCACTCCACTCCGTACGATGCGCTGGT